AAACAAAAATCACAGATTTCAAAAAAGAAGGCCCCGGGTTCAAAGAGAACACCAATGGAGGCGACGTCAGGACCCGGACGCCATGTTCACGCCTACTTGGAGCGTTGGCGCATACGCCGGCGGCGTCGCTTTAAGCGCTTTATGCGCTTCTTGTGCCACTTGGGCCGCATGCCTCCTGGGCGACTAATTGTCCCCATTTCCTACCTAGTAGAACGAGAAGATGGGAAACAAAGGATGGTCATAGGCAGCGAGCAAGACAAAAAGCAAAAAAGAAAAAGAAACAGACCCTCACGACGAGTCCACCACCCACATGGTGCACGACAAAAAACAGCGGCAGCAAAAGACGGTGAAATTAAAAAAGAAAAAATCAACTCAAAACAGCAGAGCACTGACAGCAAGCACAGTTGGGCTATCCCATCCACAACGCCTTCCCTCTAGACCAGAGAAGGGCAAGTGATGCCATGCCATGTTCGCGCTTACTTGGAGCGTTGGCGCATACGCCGGCGGCGTCGCTTTAAGCGCTTTATGCGCTTCTTGTGCCACTTGGGCCGCATGCCTCCTGGACGGCTAATCGTCCCCATTTGTGCTCTACGCAAGTGTGGAGAGGAACAATCAAGCAAGAAGACGAAGAACAAAAAAAGAAAAGCAAACAACAATGGCGAGGACCTCAATGCCCACTCACGCGTCCGGCATAGCATTAGATGGGCCAGTAGAAGGCCAGAAAAAAAAGACACACACAAAAGCCACCAAATAATAAGACAAAAATAAGTAAAATAAAAAATCATGAACTTAGTTCGGAATCTTCAGTTTGCCATCACGGACCTTGCCCTGAATCGCCTGCGGGCTCTCGCCGTCGATGGTGCAGCCGACGGACACCGCCGTGCCAAGCACCTCCATCACGACAGCCTTCATGGTGGCGCCCATGGAATTGGGTGCCGCCTCCTTTGCAATCTTCAGGATCTCCGTGAAGGGGATGTTGCCGTTGTGCTTGATGTTCTTCACCTTCTTGCGATCACGCGGCGGCTCCTTCAAGGCGCGGATCAAACGAGAAGCAACAGACGGCGTAACACGCACGGTGGCCACACGATTCTTCACACGCAGCTCACATGTGACCTTAAGGCCCTTCC